CCTGAAAGCCTCCTCCGAGGCCCAGAGAGCACCCTGCAAGCTTCCAAAGGAGGGTGACAACCAACAGTCCTATCCAGCTATGCTACCTATGAATCCTAACCAATACCAGCAAGACATAAGAACTCTAAGGGTGTAGCAGCAGCTCACATACCTAGGTGATAACCAACCACTCTCTACCTGCACTTTAGACCTCCTCAACAAGATAAAATCATGCCTGGTACCAGAAACCCAGGCAGCTACTGAGTGTTAGGGAAGCATGGATCTTTGAGTACCTACAACCACCACTTTACGAAACTATCATAATCCCTAACTACATCCTAAATATTTGTCCTTATACCCACAGGTAAATGCCTGTGGTATAAATACCCCTCATCCAGGAAATTTCTCTTCACAACAGATGGAGACCATTAAAGCAAACCATAACCAATCAAAGAGCAAACTGTGGAGCTCAATTCCAATGGGTATGTACAAAACAGATCCTGCACCCAAGGCCCAGGGAACACTCAAGGCAGAAAAGAGGGCTGTAAGACTGTAAGCGCCAGAGGATTAGGGAGTTTGCTGTGAGGTTGTGTCTCCTAGTAAAGTCAGAAGCTACATTTATAAAGACTTGCCAATATGGCTGCCTAAACATGAACTGAATACAAACAATATGCCAAAGCGGGTACGGGGAAGATCCTGAGGTCTCGACCCTACACAACTAAGGAATGCTCAGGGAGGGAGAAATGGTTCTTCCCAGGGAAGAACATACCAATTGGTTATCCAATACCAAGTGGCCAGCCCTGAAACTATATGCATACAAGTTGCATTATACAGACTGAGGTTATATTTAGGAATGTATGTATGTATGTATATGCACACATGCATATGTACATGCATGTGGCAACAATTAATGGAAAAAGGAGGCCATGAATTTGAAAGGGAGTGAGATGAGTATAAGGGAGCGTATGGAGAAAGGAAAAAGGAGGAGGAAATGGTGTGCTTATGATCTCAGAAATAAAAGGAAAAGCTTTGGGAAAGGATCCACTGTAAAAGAGATGATGAAAATGCCAAGGACAGACCACACCTAAAAAGTCTGAGTGAGATCCTAATAAAAATGTCAAGGAGCTATGACACTTCACATACATGAAGATACTCAAATAAATCTGTCCTTCCAACAGGAGGCCGTCTGTAGTGTCTTTATTTCTGCTGAATCTCAGGGTCTTCTAAAGACGTCTGTATGTTCCAAAGAACAACTACTGATAGAGATTTTAGTGACAGTGAACCAGAAAATTGAAATCTGAGAACATTATTAGTGGCTTGATTTCTTTCCTTGATTGAAATTACTATGCCCTTGACAGTTATGTTATTACTTAGCTATTAAGTCTCAGATTATCCTAAAAACCAGTGCGGGTAGTCTTACGGGTAGCTTCTTACAAAAGCTGTATCCAGAAAATTTTATCTCCAATACTGGAAAGCCTCCTTTGAAAGCTTATCTTAAAGAAGACAACTATATAAAAAACAGATAAAATCCTGGAGGTCATCTGATGAGCTGTGCACATTAAGAGGGTCACTCCATATACCATCTTTAAATTCAAAAGGAATTCACCATATACCATCTTTAAATCCGAAAGGAATTCACAATTAGCCAGTTTCTAGTGGATGCTCTGGGTAGAAAGAACTGGGTCTGGAACCTGACTCTGGGGTGGAAACTTGTGTTCCTCAAACACAAATGGCCTCCCCTGTATGATACATCACAGAAACACTAGGGATAATGAGACAATGTGATAGTCTTATTATTTTAAGAAAAATGAAGGTAACTCATCACCGATCTTCTTTACTTCTACTGAACATAAGGAATCATATATCCCAGATGAGTAAGCAATATAAAGACATGAAGTAAATAATAAAAACTCCATATAATATTCCAAAAATCTATTTATTGGTCTACAATATAATTATATTTAAAACCATCTAGATTCCAGCTCACTGTAAGAGCTTTCTTTCTCAAAATGGCCTAAATTTAGGAAAATCTCCAAGTTTTATTTTACATAAGACAGATATAGCACAAGTCATTCCAAGTGTGATGTATGCAGGGAAGAATGCAGGGTGGTTTTCCAATCTAGAGTAAGAGGCTCGGAGAGCAGGGTGGTCATCCAGCCTAGGAGCAAGAGGGTTGGAGAATGTTCCAGAAAAACATGCTTATAAATATAATAAAAGCACTGTTTTCCCTGTCCCTGGGATCTGGAAGATAACATCCTAACAACAGTTTTTCAGTAGCTATAGCTAATGCGGGAATTAGATTTTTATACCATCTTAGAAATGTACGTATCTTTATCTAGTTTAACAGCTTAATATTCTTAGTTTATTAAGATTGACCCGAGTTTGATAGTGTGATCAATCTTATGGGACCATTTTTATATAAAGCACTGTTCTTTCATCATAGAAAAGCTAGAGACTATATTAGAAAATTTATGATAGGTTATGGTTACGTTCATATGACAGCATCACATAATATACCATATTAATATTTGAGTAATTATTATAACAGTAATTTAAAAATATTTCATAGTTACTAATGCATTTTGTGGAGTGTTTCAAGTAAAGACAATCTTATGAAGCAAGTACAAGTATTATCCACACTTGATTAGAAACACTATGCAATTTGCTCAGGGCAGGAAGTCACGCTCAAAACTGACGGCAAAGGCAGCACTCATAGCAGCCACCCTACTTTCCGCCAGGTGCTCAGAGCACATGCGAGCACAGCACTTTTCTTCAGATCTGCCGTGGCTCATCATCAGAGGATCCTTGTGCATTTGTTTTTACCATTTATCTCTACATAAAACAAGGAATGCAGTTCAGGGAAGGCACACCTTACATTTTCTTCTAAGTAAAACAAAGTCAGTTCTCATAAAACAAAAAAAAAACCATGTAGTTATATATTTTTGTATTATGTATGCACTTTCAAATAAAAGAGAGGCACAAAGGTGAAAACCCTATAAAAACACACAAAGCATATCCCTGTACAAGTCAAACACCAGAAACTCATGGCTGACTCTTAGGTCTTACCGGGAATCCTTGATGCCAATGTGACAAGTGAGCTCAGTTAGGAACTGAAATGCAGCAGTCTGAGGCTTTCTCAGCAGCACAGAACTCCAGCTCCACTTGGGTCACTGCACTGAGCATTTGACACTGTCTGTACTAAATGCTAAGTCATCCATGCCCAACTTTGACTTTTTTAAAAGCCTTTTTAATGTAAATAAAATATGACCCAATAAAAGAACTAGTTACAACACCTTGAAAAGCTGTTCTGAATTCATCCTTGACAAGGTTGAGGAATGAAGAGAAACAAAACAGATACATTGATCTCAGAGGTCTACCATGAGGACTAAGCATGACAAAGCATACACAGCAAGGGACAAAGCCAGGCACAGAGGGTGTTATACAATTTCCACTTGATGCTTCTGTCATCCCCGCTGCATTATTATGTGACTATTATCCTGTGCCCTGTTACAGATCATGTTATCTTAAGAAGTTACTGCTGGCAATGTTGCTGGCGATGCTGCTGCTGCTGCTGCTGTTATTGCAAAACACTGGGTCAGAATAGTTCAGGCTACGCCACAAGACGGTCAAACAGAAATCAGCAAATTATCTGAGCTTGCTTTGTAAAGCCTTACTTAGAAAATGAGGAATAGTGGCTGAGAGATAGCTCAGAGGGTAAAGTGTTTGCTGCCCACTGTTGCAGAATATTCCTTACACTGTGTGAAGGTGTGTCACTGTGATTGGTTTAATAAACAGTTGAATTAGCAGAGTGGCCATCCAGTGTGGGGGAAGCAGGATGGGCACTACAGAGTAAAGGTGACTGAGCCACACCAAAGTATGTGGATTAAAAGATATGGATTAATTTAAGTTTTAAGAGCTAAAGGGACAAGCCTAAGCTAAGGCCTAGCTTTCATAATTAATAATAAGTCTCCATGTCATTTTTGGTGAAATGGCTGCCCAAAACGAAATATCTTTTTACAGACCATGTATGAGGACCACAGTGGTCCCCAATGCCCACAAAAATATCCTGTAGCATGGTGGCCTGCCTATAATCCTAGTATATAACGGCAGACATTGGGTATTCCTCTAAGTAGGATAGCTAGCTAAATTTGGTAAGCTCTAGGTTTAACTGAGAGTCTCTTCCTCGAAAAATAAATGGACTGATCAAGGAAGACATCCAGTGTTAACCTCAGACCTGAACACATGCACACACAGGAGCACACTTGCCTATATTCATGAAACATGCATATACACATGTATGCACATCACATACAAAATAAAACAGAATAAAATGAGGGATAATATCATCTACTTTACATGGTCATGATGAGAATTATATTAAACAAGACACAAATGGATGCTAAGAAGCACAAATACATAAAGGAATAATATTATCATTAATTTATAGTCACACAATCTACATCTTGATTTAGAACAGGGTACAGGAAAGAAAAGAAGTCTGGGGGGATAGAAGAAAGGAGGGATAGAGGGGACAGAAAAGAAGGGAGAAAAGAGACTGAAGCTATTTTCTTCCATTGTTTCAGAGATCTGTCTTAAGAAACCTATTTCTACAGCCTATAGCTAGCATACTACAGTCACATGTCCCTTAATAATGGAGATGCATCCTGAGAAAATGTCATTGCGTGATTTCTGTTTCCATGTAAACATCACAGTGTACTCACACAAACCTAGATGATATAGTCTACTACACATGCAGGCCGGGTGGGGTAACATCTGTTCCTAAGCTATAAACCTCTACAGCATGTTACTAGAAACTCAGTGGTGTTTACAATATTTAAATTATATAAATACACATGAACATACACAAGTATATTAAAAATGCTATATAATTTTTCTGCTCTATTATGATTGTATAGGGCAAAAACCACATATGTGGTCAGTATTGACCAAAAATTTCATGTTGTGGCCCATCACTACAGTAATTAAGTAAAAGAAAAGGGTATTCACAAGTACATGCTTACCTTTACTATTGTTTTAGGGCGTTTTTTAAAAAATAGTTTTGGCTTTTCTACCACAGGAAGAGGTGGGAGTTTTTTAAGCTCCTGTAAGACAGTGGTTGCCGCACGCTTCTTGGACAGTTTTTTGCTATTTCCCTCTCCTTCTGCAGAAAATTCTCCCACTGACACCCGGGTAACAAAACTCTTCATATGAGGGGGTCCGCTTTCTTTAATAACCTATTAAATGCAAGTGGGACATTAGTCAACATACCGGCATTTGTATTTAACAGCACGAATTTTTCTAAATGGTCTCTCCAACTAACTGGAGATCCATACCAAAATTACAGTATCTCTTTAAAACACCTAGTTTAAGTTATGATAACAGCAACATTTACGTAAAAGAGTTCTGATTCTCAATTAACCAACATGAAAGAAATCTTGACAAGCTGTAGCACAAATACTAAAAACCCAGAGACAGGTATTGGGGTTCAACCTGAAGATCAGAGAAGCAAAGCTGTCAAGCCTCTAGAGAGCTCTTACCTCTGAAATCTTCAGACTAAAAGAGAGCGAGTTCCTGTCTCATCCTGCTTTATATTCCTCTCTAGTGCTGAAATTAAAGGCCTGCACCACCACTGCCCAGCCTCTGTTGCTAATTAGTGTGGTTGCTGGGATTAAAGGTGTGTTCCACCACCGCCTGGCCTGTATGGCTATTAGTGTGGCTGGTTTGTGTTCTGATCTTCAGGCAAGCTTTATTTATTGAAATACAAATGAAATACCATTACATTTCCCCCTTAATTCTCACATAAAAAGGCTATAGCTAATATAAGAAAAACTATATACAAAAAGAACAATAACTATATACAATATATACAGGCAATAAATACATCAACAATATCTAGTCCATATACAATTGACAAATTCAGAGAAAATATTCCATATCCATCTTATCTTGATGAATTCAAACTCTTGTACCTAATTTACTTTCTATTATAACTTGTTTTCTGCATCAGGTAAACAAGGAAAACTAACGATCTAGTCTTCAACTACCTCAGAGACCCAAGAAGGAAATAATATTAACTGAGTAAGCAGAAAGTGCAAGTAAGCAACTTCTAAAAAATGTGAGTAATGACAGAAACAGTTGGCTGCTTGGACAATCACCCAAAGTTCCTCTGCAATGTTGGGGACATCCATCTTCAGCCTACAGGTCTAACATATCCAATAGACTTCTCTGTGAAGCATGATATTCTGAAGGGCTGTCCCACCTTGTCTTGACAATACCTGACAGTCACTCTTCTTTGTGTCTTGCTTGTCCAGTTAGGACAGTATACTGTCAGCAGTCAAGGCAAAGGCATTTTCTTGCCCAGTGACTTACTTTTGCCACAAAGAAAGCAAACTTTATGTGGAGTTTCTTTGATGCCCATTATCTTCTCGGAAGTACACTGGTGCTTCCAAGAGCAGACATGTCTCAATGTGATAGTAAAAAGAACCTATGTTATTAATGGCATATTCTGTAGATCTCTGAAGTGTTTGAAGATGACTTGGCTATATAAAATATATCTTTGTTTGACCTTGAAAACCTAAAGTGACTACAAGTTTGATTGTAACAGGTGATTAACTACTACCCTGCATTTCCTTATTATCCTAAACAGTTGGTGATAATTTTCAAGGACTAGAAATTTGCAATGCATTACTAAATGAGTTGTATCTGTACAATACCTTAAACAAGTGTAGAAATGTATATACAGTATGTTCTAACAAAATTAATCTCAATATACAAAAATTGTATACAATATACAAAAGGCCAACTCAATGTAAAACATTTAAAACTAGTAGTTGATTTTTAAGAGTAGATTCAATAATCTACCTTTGTATCTTATCTACTTCCTCCCTTTTTTCCAGAGTAGATTCAATAACCTACCCTTTTATCCTATTGTATCTATATCCTTTTTTCTTTACACAACAAGAACCTTGAATCTAACTTCCTTTATTTAGCTTTTATCCTGATCATTACCACTAACAACTTGTAACCAATCTCCCTAAATAATGACAAATATCTATAACCCAATAAATAACCAAAAACCTACCCACCCCACCTCTTGGGAATATGGAAATCATGTTTTTAAATTTAGTTTCTACTGATTGGGGGTGCAGTATCTTTAGGGGATCCTGAAAAGAAAAACTGGGTCAATTGTCAAGTCCTGGGAGAGGTAGCTATATCATTGTTGTTGTCCAGTCTCTGCATAATGGGAAGATGCAGAACTTCTCTCAAGTCCTGGCTAGAGGAGTCTGTTAGGCTGGATAATCTCAGCTAGCCACCTCAAATTGTCCTGAGCAGTTTTTAGTACAAAGTCAATCTTTAGGTGGTATTTTTCAGCTTAGTAGTATTATCATGACCCATCCTCCTTTTGGAGACTTCAAAGGTCACTGTTAGGCATGCTCATGGTTCACTGTTAGAGACCTGAAATCAGGTATAGGAAGGTAGATGAAACCTTTTTCTAGACTTAGTACTCTATATGACCATTAATATCATGACTAAAAGTTTAGAATATATGTGCTATTCTTATAAAATTTATACCTTAAGGAAAGCTGTTAGTCAATATAAAACTAAAGGATTATGATATTAGTGGCAATACCATAATTCTTAAATATTTGTTTTTCTTCTGTCCCATATCAGGTGGCTCTTCTGACATGAGACAGATGTTGAATTTTCTGAGTAAGCATGTTTGGTTAGATTAGGAGAAAGCCACACTCCAACTCCAAAGCCAGCTTTAATCTTTAACTGGAATGGGACTACAAAAAAAGACCATTATATGTCTGTAGAGAATAGCAGAAACAAACATTTGGGAAGATTTATGAAATTGTAACCTGTTAGAAATGTGATACATCATTAAGTCAATTTTATCTTTTTCTTGAGATATTTTTTCTAGATGATTTGGTTTTTTTTTTTCCTTCAGATGTCTCATTTGTTCACTTGACTTCAGAGTCCTTAGCTGGATATATTTATTCTCCTGAAAAGACACAAATAAAACCCTTCCCCAAACCTAATTTTGGGGAGATTCTCTTTTGGCATGTTATATCTGATCAAACAAAAGGGATTTGTTAGTTTTATAGGTTAGCTTATTTTATTTTCTCTTCTAATTAAGAGGTGTTTTATAGGTTAGCTTATTTTATTTTCTCTTCTAATTAAGAGGTGTCTCTTGTTCAAATCGAATCTTGATCAATTTTAATGGTATCCATAGCTTTTCTTTTCCTGTGGAAATAAAAACAAAATCCTGTCTCCAACATAACACATGTCTTGGTTTCCATTCTGAGGTCAGTACATCTTTAAAGTATATCGGCTCATTTAATTCTGTAGTTCTTTTCCTACTGTCCAATGTTTCTCCACACCTGCTGTTCCTTAGAAAATTCAAAGTTAATAAAACATTATGCAATTGATTTCTGGGCGTCTTTATCATCCCTTACTGTTTATTTAACATATCCTTTAGAGTTCAGTTTGACCTTTTAATAATTGCTTGCCTTGTAAGATTGTGTGGTGTACCTGTAATATTCTTTATATTATAATAAGCAGAAAAAAACTGTTTCATTTTCTTAGAGACATAAGCTAGAGCATTGTCTGTCTTTATTTGCACAAGCATAACCATAATGGCCATAACTTCTAGTAAATGTGTGATTACTGAATCAGCCTTTTCCAAACTCAAAATAATTGCCCATTTAAAACCTGAATAGGTATCAATGGTATAGTGTACATATTTTAGTTTGTCAATTCTACAAAACGGAACACATCCATCTGCCAGATTTTATTCCTCTGAGTACCCTTTGGTCTACTTCTTGCAGGTAGTAGTGTTTTGTCATATAAAAAACAAGTAGGACATTTCCTTATATTTTCCTTGGCTTGTTGCCACGTGATGGAAAAGTCTTTTTTTAAACCTTTGCTATTGATGTGATTTTTTAATGAAATCCTGTGGCCTTCAGTACATTTCCAATCAATAATTGATTAATTTCTGCATTACCTTGTGTTAGAGGAACTTGAAGACCCATACGGGATAAGATGTGTGTTATGTTTATGGAATGATTTCTATTTCTGATTGTATCTTGTTACTGGATAAATAATAAAGTCAATTCTGAATCATCTGGTATAAATTCAATGGTTTCAATATGCAAAACAACTCTTTCTGCATATTGTGAATCAGTAACAAAGTTGAGAGTTCTTTAAAAAACCCTTAGTACCATAAGAATAGCACATAATTCTGACTTTTGGAAAGAATCATAAGGGCTTTGATCTACTTTACTTAAATTTTCTAATTTATAACCTGCCTTTCCTGATTTATTTGCATTAGTATAGAATGTAGGGGCTACAGTTAGTTCTCTTTACAAATTGAATTCTCTTGCTTTTGGAATAGCTGTTGTTAATCTCTTCCAAAAAATTACTACAAGCTCTTTGCCAGGGTTCTCTTTCTGCCCATAATTTGTCAATTTCATCATTATTAATAGGTACTGTGATTTCTGCTGGGCTTATTTCTGCTAATTGACAAAGACTCAATTTTCCTTTTGGTATTCTCTGAGACTTTTTCCACATAAGTTTTTAATATTTTACTTGATTTATGTGGTAAAAAGATCCATTCTAAGATAATATCTTCCCTCTGCATTAAAATTCCTGTAAGGGAATGTTTGGAGGGTAATATGATCAGAATGCAGTTAAGATTTGGATCCACATGATCCACATGTGCCTCCTGTAATTTCTCTCCAATCAAAGTAAATTCTCTCTTGGCTTCAGCTGATTATTCCCTGGGACTATTTAAGTCCTTGTCACAATCTAAGGTTTTGCTTAAACTAATCAAGTCATCGGGATCTGTCCCAGTAGAGTATCGTAGATGAGAAATGTCTCCTAGAAATCTTTGGAAGTCATTAAGAGTCTATAATCGATTCTCCCCTAATTTGCATCTTTTGGGGTCTAATTTTTGGTAAACCTATTTTATCACCCAAATAATTAATAGAATCTCCTACTTGTATTTTTTAGGAGCAATGTGTAATCCCCAACAGGGCAAAATTTTCTTTACTTATTCATTTTTTTCTAAAGTATCTATATTTGAAACAGATAGCAAAATGTCATCGATATAATAGTAAACTATAGATTCAGGTAACTGCTTAAGTATCATTTCCAATGGCTGATTTACAAAATATTGGCACAGGGTTGGATTTTTTAACATTCCCTGTGGAAGAACCTTCCATTGGTCTCT